AAAGTTACAAATCTCAAAGTCCACTCCAAAGGGAGATATTTCGTTTTTTAAAAATCCCTTTTCAAGAACTACAACGAACGGCTAGTTTGGACTACAGCTTTGGTTTCCGGGCTTTGTGATGTCACAAAGCGGCCCATTAGAATATCATTACAAACATTTTGAATGATATTATAATGACACCTATTTTGAGTGGAAGCAGAAACATGCTGTTTTTCGGGCCTGTCTCTTTAAATGCAAATGAGCTGCTGCTGCCCGCCCCTTTTCTAGAATAGAGCTGCGCCATCACAGCTTGTACCTGCTAAAAACATCTGTTTTGGTTTTGATTATCATGTTTATCGCGCTGAAATCATGCGTTTTAAACCATATGAGTTTAAACTTCATATATACAGTTTTCTGAGTGCACACGGACAGAAAGCGGCTGTCACAGCATGTGAGTGCTAAACTAAGTTTTCATTCACACACAAGTTTACGTTAAAAACACACAAGTTACAAAAACAGTTGGTTATTTCTGTGAAGGTAAACTGCTGGGAAATAAATCGCATGTTTATTTTAGATCTGTTTGGCAGCAGCAATATACATTAAATAAATCAATAAATCCACTGCTCTCTTGTCTCCTCTGAGGCTGGGACTCTAAATAGTGTTTTGTGCTCGTCTGTGCAGCCAAAGACAGAACAGTTAGCATGTTTTGCTCAAACTTTCACCAACCATGGCGTTAGAACTGGTACACCGTTGTCGCTTGCGAAATCACAATAAGCCGTGGGTGGAAACTTACAGATTAAGGGGCGGTAATATTATAATGAGATCCCCTTGCCACGTCACTAAGGGAGAGAAATCAGACGCGCTCGTTTTTTCAGACGCTTGCAGAAAAAGGCTTCCCAAAACAAAGTTACTGGGTTAATCTTTTTCACGTTTCCTTGGTTGGTAGATGCACCGGGGACCTGATTATAGCACTTAAAACCTGGAAAAGTCAGATTTTCATGATATGTCACCTTTAAGACAAAAACAGAACTAAAGAAAAACAAAACAGAATTTGGGGGGAAAATACAAGATTCCATAGGGCCCTAAAAATGTGTTAATCTTTTAATAAACCATTGTTAAATCGTATAGGTTTCATGATTTCAATTAATTGGACATACCTTTTGAATACTAAATAAATAAATAGATAAATTAAACATTAAAATGGAAATCCAGAAAAATTAAAACAGAAAAAGAGAATGGGGAAAAAAAATGTCATGGGCCCTGTGAATCTCAGTGTATAGCTCATATATATGCATAGTGCCTTGCAAAGGTTTACCCAAATCATTGAACTGCAGATCCCAATGAACACATCAAGAGCTCTGCATGACACTATTCTGAAGGAAAGGCCATAAAAAGCCATTACTGCAGAAGACATTTGCCCAGGGCTGTAGCTGCTAAAATACTGAAGTACAGCAGTTCTCTAGCTGCAACATCATCACTAGAAACCGAGACAGAGCCTAGATTTGAACACAAAAGTGTGGCCACAGTATAAGCTATGGTATAAGCACAGTATAAGCACCAACTATGGTGGTGGCAGCATCTCATCAAGCTGCTACGGTCTGACGCTTGGAAGGAGGTTTCTGCACTATAGCGTCACCAAAGTTTTCAAAAATATTGAAATCTGTCAGAGCCATTGCCTTGTGGGCAGTGTATTAACATAAAACAAATGCATATATAACTGCAGATATAAACCGCTTACCGGTTCTTCTATAGGCATATCAACACAATATTTGTAATAGGCATGGGACGATAACCGGTTTCAAGGTATACCGCGGTTTGGAAAAGTCACGGTTTCAAAACCATTAAAATTTTCCGTTATACCGTTCCTGCGGTATGCGGTCACCTGTGTGTAGGATGGCCGAAGGAGATGAATCCCTGGAACTTTTTCCCACGTCGAAAAAGACGAAGTCTGTCGTATGGGAATTTTTCGGGTAACGTAGACTAACCATGTTCCGTACACAACGATGTTCCGTACAGATGACGTTTTAGCGCCGATCGCTACATAAATACTTCCAAGTCGAACATAAACTATATATCTGTCCCATCTTCATTTCTCCCTCTTTCACCCCCAATCAAGACAGAGACCCACCCGCCGTTTGTTTCAGTGTTGAAATAAATACTATCTGGCTTACTGCCGAGGCAGATAACATGGCTAATTAACTAGCTAACGTCAACTAGTTTCCTCCCTCACGTTACTTCACAGAGTGAGGAATAGCAGTCTAAAGTACGTACTGTACTTTTCTGCGATTTAGTACAAAAATTACATTTAGCTGGTATCACGTCTATACTTTTTAAGCCTCCTGCCATTGTTTACATCTGTTCAAAATCAAGCATTTTAAAAAACAAAAAACAAACTTTGCCACTGTTTGTGTGTTGTACGGAGAGACTGTGTGTGTGTGTGTGTGTGAGACACTCGCGCTCTCTTTCCTTGTGTGTATTAGGGATGTCAACGATTAATCGATGATCGATTAATTGTCGATAAGAGATGCAATAATTTATTTATGTTCTGATTATTGTTGAGCTGCAGGTTTAGGCTCACTTAAGTGACTGCATTTAATTAAGAAGAATTTAATTATTTATTCTAATTATTTAGCCTGACATGTTTACTGTTCCAAAATGTTCTATATGTTTCTTAAAAATAAAATGTGTTCAGTGGGAAAAAAAAGTTGTTTTTTTTACCCAGACATTTAAAAATAACATATTTTAGAGCTGTAATCGCAATACCGTGATACCGTGATATTTTTATTTAAGGTTATCATACCGTCAGAATCTCATAACGGCCCATGCCTAATTTGTAATATAGTCAATAAAAGAATTACTGGTCGTCAAGGGTCTGGACTCTGGAGCATTTTGTAAGGCACTGAATAAGCAGCATCACATCAGTCTTCATAAAGACTGATATTTAGTTCACACAAACTCAGCGTTTCAGGGCTTGCAGTTTGACCTCGAGCTGACAGCATGGCAGTGTTTGAGACGACACCCCTCCCAACTGCTGTCAGTCTGTCACAAGACTCTTCCAGAAAAAGACATCCACTATGGCGCACAGTTTTATTAAAATGAAGAAGCCCTAAGGACCTGGAACAGAACGTGGAAGGGCAGACCTAGTTTTTGTTCCAGTTAACTTTAAAGGGGTCATATGATGCTTTTTTAAAGATCATTATTTTGTGTATTTGGTGTAACAGAATATGTTGACATGCTTTAATGTTCAAAAAACACATTCTTTTTCAAATACTGTACATTATTGTAGGTCCTCTATGCCCCGCCTCTCTCAAACGCTTCGTTTTCTACAAAGTCCCTCCTTCCGACAAGCGCAGTCTGCTCTGATTGGCCAGCTGACCCAGTGCATTGTGATTGGCCGAACACCGCAAGCACTCGTCGGAAATGTAACGCCCCTTACCATAATCGCGAGCTTCATCTTTCAAAATAAATGTAAAGACAGAGCCCGAAAGGGGAACAGAGTCGCGTGACAGACACAGTGATGAAGCTGGTATGTGTTTGTGATGTGACCCCCTCTCTCTCTCTCTCTCTCTCTCTCTCTCTCTCTCTCTCTCTCTCTCACACACACACACACACACACACACACATTATGCGCAAAACTCCGCATTTGAACAGTCAATAGCAAATACTTAAACTAATAACAAAACAGTAGCTGATTCAGAAGCGCCAGATTGTCATAGCAAAGTCAGAATTACCTCCTCTCCTAGGTTCATGAAACGGTCGTCCATAAAATGCATTGCTGTTCTGTTGTAAGTGATCTTAAAGATTCCTAAATGCATCTACTTCTGGTAGGCCAAATAAAGTGCTTTTGCTTTCGCACTGAAACACACAGCGTCTCCCTGACATTCTGCATCAACACTAACTGCTTTACTGAAACCACGCCTTCTTTCTTTGCGTGCACATTTGGGCTGCATTATTCTAATATTTCCACATAGTGAGGTAGATATGTGGGGTGTGTTAGAACGAGCCGTTTTAGGGGGGCGTGGCAGAGTCTTAACTTTGATAAAGAATATCTCTTTGGTTTTGAGACTTTAGTCTTTGCAACTTCAGGGATCTTATCTATGCACAATCAGCTTGTAACACTCCAAAGAGAAAGGAAAACTTGAAATCGCATCATATGACCCCTTTAATGAAAACAATCAGCTGTTTTCCAAGGTAGGCTATAGGTGATGGCATCTTCTTGCTGGTTTACACTGCAATCTGTAAGTCATCACATTAACAACTAAGTGTAATGAGTTTCTGGTGTATGACTTAGTAACACTACTGAGTTTCTAGTGTAACAGACATTTACAACATTGGTGATGATGGTACATCTGGACAATACCGTGGATCTCTATAGTATTCATGGTTTTCTTTGAAGTACCATGTAAATAAATACTACATAAATGTTATAATCATTCAATATCACGGTATTGCCATCGGATACCATCACTGTGCCACCACAACACTGTATTTGTTATCTGGGCATGAAGATAACATACTAATACTAAAATACTAATTATTGAACGTGCTGAATGTAGAGTTGTAGTACTGCAGGCTACATTGTATGGATAAGTGCATAATTCAAAGAATAACTAAAAATGGATTATAGGCGAGATGAAACGACTTGAAACAGTATCCAGTTCTTATTTATCAAACTGTTGATACAATAATAGCAATGGAAATGGCTGCTTCTTGTAATGACTGTCATGTCTGTATGTATTGTCATAATTAATAGCTCTGGCTTTGACTTTAAATGCCAAACAGCATCACACAAGGCACCAGCACTGTGTTACTCAGCTAAGCATTCATTTTGCAACCACTTTGCATGAAAAAGACTAAGAATAGACACTCAACCTGGCAGATGCACAATAGGAAACCCATAAATCTTCATGCTATGACAGCTTAGCCAACGTTGAATTTGTTGCCCAGTGTTTGCATGATGCATTTGAAACTAGGATATGTGGTGTTTGTTTACAGCGCTGCAAGCGTGTTGTGTTCCTTACCATTTTGCTGCCTGCACGACGGAATTCCCCCTCGGAATTGAACAGCAGTAAATGACAGCACAAAAATAAGAGGAAAATTCTGCTCTTGGTCTTGTTGTTTTGTGAAGAAAAGGCTGGTTTTGACACAGCAGCAGCGTAACCTTTTTTCCGTCCGTTTCCGTGGGTTTCACTGCAGCAGCGACGCGAGGAAGAGCCGCAGGGCGCGGAGGGAGGGAGGAGCGGAGGAGGCTCGCTGCTATTGGACGACGCGCGAAAGAGGCGGGGCAAATAAGCGCAGATGGGCGGTGCTTCGGTACATTACATACGGGAAACCTTTGCTCCACTCCCTCCCTTCACTCTCACTCAAACACAGTGGACTCACTGGAGTCGGGTCGTTCCTACTGTAGGCCTACTGTTATTTTCATGTCTTTCCCATCGATCTATGTCTTAATACGTCTAAAATGGGGGTTATGCGCAACAGACTTCCGTATTCTGTTAACCGGGTCTCGTCGCTTCCGGTTCAAGCGTTTTGCATATTCTTAGTTAAATATGAAGCAGTTTTACTCAAGATGCCTTCAAAGTAGATAGATACCAATGATGATCATAACCAATGTCCATCACATATGCGGACTGATATCTAAAAGTGTTTTTTATTTTTATTCTTTTCACATTTGGATATAAAATTTGAATAAAACGTCAGCAATAAAAACAGCTAGCTAGTTTAACTGATTATCTTAAAAGTCCATAGATATTGCTATTATTTAATACGGCTGTTAACACGTTCTCCGACAAACGGAAGCAATGAGACCTGGGGCAAGTTCAAGCTCAAACCGGTGTGCAACGTTTTGCTACGGTTTCCGGGTTGAACGACATGTTTCCTGGAAACGGTGTGCAACGGGGTTTCAGATGCGTTTTCTCTTGTTTGGTGGGCGTGTCAAACATGTCAGCCCAATCAGCAGCAACATGTATATAAACCACGCGGTATTAAAGAGACAGCTCACACAATGTAATTAACATCAAAATAAATTTACAAGAGCAAGTATATTGTTTGCACATGTTTATTTACATTAAAGGCAAAATAACTGAAATAATAAGGGCACAAGTATAGATCTGGAACTTC